GTGGTAACACACCATTATCACCATGAGAATAACTTATGACACTTTGCATAACATACTATGTAGTATTCTCATAGCGGGTCAATCCGGTATAAATATTATTCCTAATACTTATACCTATGTCAAGACTTGATAACTCTTTATCCATGATCCATGAGATGTGATCATCAGTCTATCTTCATAATAGTCTCAATGCTTTTAATGTTATCCCACTTTGCAATAAAGCTTGACTACGGATATTTTAAGAATAATGTCTTTATGTTTAATGGGATCTCATGATTAAGTCACACTTAACATTTCATTAAACAGACTAACTATTCTAGGGACTTTATTATTCTGAAAGACAAACATAATAAAGAAATGCCTTTTATTATTAAACGAATAATCCGATACAAGTACCAAAAAGTATTGGCCTCTAGGGCTTACACCAACAGTGATAACAATGAGGATGTAGAGTAAGAGTGAGTGAGAGTAGGAGTTTTGTTGTTGAGATGAGGGCGGTATGCAACATGTGAGTTTCAATGTTATGTGATGTTATATGTTATTAAATTGATTAAGGTAGTGTGTGAATGTTGTTTGTTGTTAGTAGGTGTAGTGTAATGAGTATATAGTGTGAAACAAATGTGCTGTTATGATGTGCGAGTATAAAGTGAGAGTTCAATTGTTAAAGTTGGTGTCAAAGCATGACTTTTGATGTATTATGCTTACTGTATATAATGTCAATATTATACTACGATGTGAGTGATTTAGTGAAAAGTGGTGTGCCTGTCGGTGATTATTTTTTATGATGAATGAATATAGAAGATGAATCTTGAGTGTAGAATATTGATGAATATAATTGAATCTTGATGAACTTTGGATGGAGATTGTTGATGATAATGCTTGAATTGTTGAAACTTGATTAATGATTTGTTGAAATTAGATTGTGGCTAAGTTCCACTAAATTTAGAACTTCAATTTGAAGTTCTAGATGGTGATGAATATGAACTTTGGTGATTGTGAGAGAGTGAAGAAAAGAGATAGAACTTGAGAAAAAATGGTGGGAGAAAAAGTTCAAGGGTTTAATGTTAGTTATGTTAGTTAAGTCCAAAATTGTGAGAGATGATATGTTTATATACGCTTTGTAAATGAATGAACACCCTTGGATTGTGATCCAAGTAATAAATTTATAAATGGTTGGAAATTAATTTAAGCATTGGTTGCATATCACTAATCTCAACCCTAGGATCGAGTGTTATGAATGGGTAGGATTGAATGAAAATTTGATTGAAAATTGAAGTTGGAATTTATGTTTGTTTGAAAGTTATTTGTGTTAGTTTTGTAGTTATGATAGTTAAAGGTTAATTGTGCAATTGAATAATTGTGGATGCATAGGTAGTTATAGACAAATGGTGTTTGGTTTTTGCAAAAGTACCAATTAGGATGTAAGGCAAAAGGTCATTAGTGATAAACTTGAATTTAAATGTTTTGGTTTTTTATTTTTCTACCACTTTTGCCTTGAATTTTTGGTGAATTATCCTGTGACTTTAAGTGCTTTTGAGAAGTAATTTTGTGTTGAGAATAAACAATTTTGAATGGTGTAAAATTAGAAATCAAATTCTTAATTTTTGGGCATGAATCAATGTTGGAAAGTGTTGAAAAAACAAGTAGTGAATTTAAGGAATAATGCATAATTTTTCTTTTGTTTCTTGAGTTTTTTTATGATTTTTCCATGACTTTCGGATGATTCAACTTCATGATATGAATGTAGAACTTGGTATACGTTCTTTCTTGTAGTAAAGTGAGCATTGTAGTGGAAGAATGAACTTGAAGCAACATTGAAAAGTGAAGAACAAGTCATGAAAGTGAAGCTTGATGGAAGATAGAATTTGTTGGAAATTAGCATTTAACATAATCATGACATAAGTTATTTTTTTTATGAATAATGGTGAATTCTTTGATCACATGCTTATTGAATAGGTCTAAGAAAATTCAAGAGTCAAAATTGAATCAATGGTCAATAGTTGACCAAAAAGTCAACTATTTGACCAAAAAGTCAAATGTACCCAAAAGATGTAGTTCTTTTTTTACTCTTTTTCTTGTAATTCATTCTTTTGATTTGTATCTCAAGCAAAATGAATTGTACCATGAATTTTTAATAAATGAATGAAATATTCTTTTAATTCCAACTTTGTCATTTTCTCTAAATTCAAGCAAACTTCTGAATTAAGTAACAATCATTTCAATTCCCATGCTAACCATGAACCTCGGATGAAGAGATGACCCGTACCATAAGTAATATGGGAAATAGACCCGAATAATTACCAAATAATATCCGCCTCGAAAATTCACTTAAACTAAATAAATTCACTGCTGCCAAACCTTTGGTCTAAATTTGTTACAATATACAAATGTCGATGAATGACCTAAATGCATGATCAAATTGAAAAATGTATGCAACTGAACAAAATCATAAGCTAGGCAAATTGAATGAGGAGGTAGGGAAAATTTTGGGGTATGATACCTTTAGTCATAACGGCTACGATTGAACATTTATACGTGTACCAAAGTTTGATCGACTTTGGGAGCTCATGAGACATATTGTTCTCCGAAATGTTCGAGAAGATATGCCTCGAGAAGGGAATTTTATGGTTGTACAAGGGGTCAGATTTACAGACATTTAACGACATGATAACCCAACTGTGGGGGTATGTTGAGTTGATGGTATTTGTAGGAGAATGGAAGGACGATTGAGTCGTAAGCTTACAATTCCTGGTAGTCCCTTTCAAAAGTGTTTACTACTACATTCTTGGCAGGCCCTTAAAGCTTAAATTTCACAATGTTCATGGCGATACGGACATAATCAATGTTGATCTTGAAGGAGTTAAAAGGATATATCAAGTACTCTAGCGGGACCAAGGAGAGAACACGACCATGGAAATCAATGTGGCATGCCTAACCAGCCAGCTCAAGATCATGAACATCTGACCTCCCAAATGTGGCTAATCAAGCAAGATGGAGGATAACAAAAATAAGCAACGACTAGTCCACTTGGTTATGTTTTTTAAATTTTCATTTGATGTTTGTCAGAAAATAAATATAGATACATCTTTGAATTCACATTTTATGTTATTTTCAATCAATTTCCTCACAATTGTACCACGAACTCCCAACTATTAATGAATAAATCACAAATTCCAAAATATCTATTTTATTTATGATTGTATAAGGTAATGATGAGTCTTGGGTACATTCATAAGGATCAAAGCCAAATACAAAGACTTAGGGTGTCATACCAAACGCCACATTTGTGCATCTATAATAACTAATACCTCACAACGAGAAACACACACACACACACAAAAAGAAAGTGGAAAAACCACTAAAACAACAATAACATTCCATCCCCTCTGACAACTAGCCATTCCAGAGGTCAAGGTGAATTGGCCACACGTAGACCTCAGGCCGGAATTTTACCAAGGCGGATGAATGAGAACTGACCATTGACCGATAACTGTCCAGAGACATCCAATAAACTTCAAGGGAAGACCTCATAAGTTTGCACGGTGCTTGTAACAATGTACTCAGAATCAAACACATATATCTCAATCAGGTAAAGACAACACCATAACTAGGTCATTTCAATTATACTTTACAACAAACATTCTTACAAATAAATTGCCACGTAGGTAAAAATTAACGATTTTTTACAAAATTTGACGGAAAGGACTAAATCGACTAACGGAAATATTTTATGGGACTAACTTATAAGGTTTTTGAATTAAGTTAAGGGAGTAAAAATAAATTAAACCTAAAATCTTTGTGGCACAATTGAAAGACACCGAAACACATTGGTTATGCAAATACCTATAATCTTTTCTTATTTTCTCTTTCAATAAGAATTATAAATAAAGTCTTTGTGGCATATGGCTCGGGGACATTAGTTAGCTACATATATTGGAATTTAACAACTGAAATAAAAAGTGTTGACAGAAAATAATTTGATAGTTAAAAATGAATGAATAATTTGATAGTTAAAAATGAATCAAAACTTTCAGAGGAACTAAATAAAATTTAAAAATTTTATAGGACTAGAAACATACTTAATTCTAATTTTTAACATCACATCTAAAAACATACTTAAGGTGTGACTATCCTTCCACTTGAAGCTTTACACCACTTAATCTTCAACCAGCCCATGAGTTACTTTCCTCCATTTGTTCCAAATACTGAAGTAAATGAAACACATTCAATTATCACTATTTCTTTTGTACTGAGAAATTGTTTAATGATGAAGCACATTTATCTTTTTATGTGTCTTAGAAGTCCTCTGCAAATTTTATAGAATATTTCGATCTTACCAATTCCAATACCTAAGGAGAAACCAAAGTGTTCCACAAATATCAAACAATCTCAAAACCTTCTAATTACTCGCGTTAGTTTTCAACCTAAATCTTTCGTACCTGCCTATGTTCCTTAGAATATTAGGACTCATTCTTGCTATCCCATTAAATTTCCTGCCGGGCTGCTTCCATTTTCCTCCGCCAAATCTATTCTGGTTGGTGGTGGTTAAAGTCACACTCTCAGAAAGAAACCGAACCCGTTTCAAATTACCAGTTTGAAAAATGTATAACAATGTCAATGCCTTTTAATGCAGTCCATGTTCAACATTCTAAATCCTCCAATTGTTTACAGTAGCTAGCCAGATAGCTGCACATCATCTCATACATCTTGCTATATAGAAACATGATTTCTTGTGCTTCATACGTAATACTACTCCTTCTCACAGAATGTTCTGCTTGCTCCTTCCATTAATAAGAATTTTATCTTAGTTTAACAGATTATAATGACAGTGAATGTGTCATTGTCATACCAAACTTTTCGCTTCTTCCTTCTTTATCAAGGATCTGCGTGCATAACAAACAATAATTTTCACTCACATTCAAATCATTTTCCTTCCTCGGTAATTTCTATGTGAACTCTCATAGACTTCCTAACGAACAAATTAATGAATAAACAATGTTCTACCAATAATCCCCACAAGAACATATGCCATTCTTAAAGTGATGAAAGCGACTAGAATCTCTGACCACGATCTCCCTGTCAACAATCTTTGCCATAAGCTTTATTGCATTATGACAATCTCCGCATACACGTAGGTTTTTCATTATAGTTATTGTACTTCCTTCCACAGTGCTAAGCAACCCAAATACAATTGCAAGCCTTTCACTATGGTAAGACAACATTTCTTCAGTTTGCTCAATTTCAACATCATGCAAGGCAAATTGTTGATCAGGAACATAACCCAGTTCTTTTAATTTTACTCCTAACCACTCTAGCTTTTCATAGATTTTCTCAGTAAGTGGATGGGACCTATCTGCAGACAAAAACTCATGCCTTAGTCCTTTTAAGGTTATCCAACTTGAACCGGGTTGTTTTACAACTCCATTATGCTTCATTTTCATCCTAATTCTTGCCACTTCCGACCATCTTCTCGAAGATGCATACAAGTTTGATAGCAACACATAGGCAGCACTACAATCAGGCTCCATTTCAAATATCCGTTTCGCAACTCTTTCCGCAACACCCAAATTAGAATGCTTCCTGCAGGCACTCAGCAAAACAAGCCATACCATAGAGTTTGCTTCCACAGGCATGCTCATTGCCAGTGCTTCTGCTTCCTCTACCTCTCCACACCGGCCAAGCACATCTACCATACAAGCATAGTGCTCAATCGTCATCTTCATCGATCTTTTCCAAACGAAGTACCCAAAAATACACCTCGCCTTCTGTAACATCCCGGACCTGCTACAAGCAGAAAGCAAACCGGTCAACGTGATCTCATCAGACTCAACATCTTCCATCAACATTTGTTTAAAAAGTGCCAAAGCCCATAAACCACATCCATGCTGAGCACAACCAACAATCACAGAATTCCAAGACACAACATTTTTTTCACCAATCCCATTAAACACACACAATGCATCACCAATATAACCACATTTACTATACATAACAACAAGTGAATTCCCCACATAGACCCCCTTTTCCAAACCCATCTTAACTGCCACGGCATGAATCACTCTCCCCTTCTCAAGATCCTCCAACCCAACACATGAATTCAAAGCACTAGTAAAAGAAGACTCATTAGGCATCACACAAAATCTCATCATCTCACCAAAAACCTCCAATGCTTCAACATGCTTTTCATTCAAACCATGCCCAGTCAAAAGAGCAGTCCAAACCACCACATTCTTACCAGCAGTCTCACCAAAAACCTTAAAAGCATCATCTACTCTCTTACAACCCGCGTAAAAAGTAACAAGTGAAGCCGATACAAACTCATCAAAACCACGACAATAACCAAACTTGAACATACGACAATGAATCTGAATACCCGCGTTAAAATCCAAAATTTTAGCAGCAGCGGACAGCCCACAAACCAAAGTAGTAGAAGAAGTTTCAACACCAGAACAACCCATCATGTTCTGTAAAAAAACCAACGCTTGAGAACTCTTTCCATTACGATCCAACCCAGCAATCATTGAAGTCCAAGAAATAACATCACGGTAAGGCATTTGACTGAACAACCAAAGAGCGTCATTAACTCTACCGTTATTACAATAACCATTAACCATAGCATTCCACGTAGCAACGTCTTTGTCAGCATTTGGCATTGCACGGAAGAATGTTTCAGCATCAACAACTCTTCCAACGGATAAAAAGCCATGGATTATTGTTGTCCACGAGATTGAGTTTCTGTGCGGCATTTTATCGAACAGTTTAACTGCTGCGACGAAATCACCACAGAGGATTGAGGCTTTGATAATGGAGTTCCATGAGATAATGTCTTTGGTGTTTGACGGGATTTGGTTGAAGAGATTGATGGCTTCTGGGAGATTGTGGTTGTGAGCATAAGCGAGGAGCATTCTGGTGTAGAGAGAGACGTGAGGGGAAGGGATTTTGTTGAAGATGGCACGTGCTGAATCTAGTCTTTGGTTTTTTAGGTGGTTTAAGAATGTGAAGTTTAAGGAAGTTGAAGAGGCTTTGGGGTTTTGAATAAGAGTGGTGAACGGTGTTGTAAGACATTTTGAGTTGGTTGGTTGAGTTGTTGTGAAGATGGGTGGAATTGAGAATTTTGGTTTCTTTGGCATGAAGGAAATAATGTGACTCAATAAGACCAGACATGAAAGAAGAAGAAGAAAAACAACACAGGTTTGAGTTTATACCTCACAACTACTCTACAATATATGTTTATATAGTTGAGAACAATGAGAAGAGGTCGATGCTTCTAGATGCTTAATTTGTTTGGGCCTTAGTTTTCTAGGATGACATTGATGATATATTATCTCTGAGTGTCATCCTTTTATGTAGAGACAAACACTTCAGATCCTATGTGACTTTAAATCTTGTTATTGGACATGATATGTTCTTTGAAAAACAGACTTTTTTAGTGGATGATCTATAATATATTTTAGTTGGGCTTCTTAGGGATAAGGTTAGTTAGTGTTTTTTAAGTGGGATATCGTCTTGAAATTTATTCTCTTTATCTAATTCTTCAGATAAGTCCATTAAAAATAACTTATTCAAAGCGTCGTGTATTCACGAAGAACCTTGCCTTTTCTATTACAAGTATGATAATATCAAGTTTCCATTCTATTAGAACCTGAATCCATTGAAGATTAACGTTATAGATGAGGAGTTACTACCTTATATCACCCTTTACTTTGTTGGTACCTATAATTCATATTTTGTAAGTACTTTATAGTCATTTTACTTTCTTTTTTCAGATATAATGGCACTAAAGATGAGTTGAAAGAGGTTGGTTAAGTTAGTCGTTAAAGGTAAGTCCGGGTGAAAAGTTCTTGATAACACTAAAGACTGGAAAAAACTTAACATATCTTCCAAGCATGCATTGTCTACTACTCCATTGAAAAAGAAAAGAAAAAGGGATGTTGTTGTTTACTCATCATCTTATTAACTAGGTATGTAAATATTGCCTTTGGTGGATTGAAGACGAATTATGATGTTCTTGGTGTATATGTGGTTTCATAGGTTGTTCCTCATCGCAATATTTTCAAGCATGTGAACCTTGTCATGTTTTCCCAACAAATGAACGAGTTGGTCTTTGACAATGCCTTCACCTTGAAGTTTTGTGATGTCTTATGTGAGATTATGATAAACCTAGTGTAATTGAAGAATGATCAAATATTAGTGGAGATCATGGACGATGTTCTGTGTTGATGTCCTACTTCCTCCTAGGTGTTCGTATCACACAATAGCTATAAGAGAACTTGTATATAAGAGAGTATGATTAGCCAATGACAAAGAAGGATAAGGAAGACCTTCAAGGGAGGTTGGATAAACCGAAAAACACTAAGCAAAAGATAAGGGAGAAATCTTCTAAAAATTGAAGATTGAAGCTAAAGAAGTCCATTATTTATACAACGAGTAAAGTCATAGATAATATACATAAGAAGGGGAAATTGAGAATTAATTCTAAGAGGTTTAGGTACTCTTCAAACCTGTGAATTATTCGGGTGGTTAGTGCTGGTTTGGATGACCATAGGTTTTGAAGGTAGTTCTTTTAATGTACTTGATCAATGCTATTAACTTTTTTATCATTCAAATTGTCATCTTGACTAATACTTTGGTTATGAGACATGTTAGTTCTTCTTTGAGGTGGATTGGTCATTTTATTGTTTCTCAAACCTATACAATTGCAAAAAAATTGAAACAAACTATATCTAACTTAGTTCAACCGAGTGTGATGATTTGTTTGTGGTGAAATTTATTTTTACCAACAAATGGACTCGAAAAATAATCTAATATTCAAGTAAAATTCTTTGGTATCTTAGTTGACAATTTTATTGCTCAAATTTTCATGTATTTATGGATTTATTTAATGTTAATTGTCATTGTTAGAAGATGATTAAGAATACTATTTGTTCCATTTAGGAACCAGAAATAAAGTGATGATCAGAAGCGATGGTAGATCTGAGCTTTCGCTGTAGTGGAGATGGAGGACTTGCAAGGTTAGCACTCCAACACTCAAGTCGGTATGTGAGTAACAAGAGTGACTTAAATTTGTGTGTGAAACTTGTTACCTTAATTTGGTGCATTCTCTCTCTATATAAAGAGAAAGTAACAAAATCACTTTTTCTTAGGAGTGGATTGCAGAGAGTCGTTGGATGTACTTGCAATTGAGATCCTTGTTGGCATCATGAGGAGAATTCTCGTGTGCTAAGAAGATTCTGAAAGGATTACTATTTCCCTAGGGTGGTTGACAGGGGTTAATATGATTGACCCATAACAGTTTTCCCCAAGCTTGTGCCTATACTCAAAAAAGCATGGGTTTGTTACTTCAATATCGGTTGCCGACCACTCTCATCTTTATGACTAGAAGATCAAAAGAAAATGTTGCAACTACTTTGGGATTCATGCATTTAATGATCCATACTTAAAACGTCTTTTCGAAGGTGCCATCATCACAACTCTTGGAAACCAAAATACTTTAGTGTTTTGTGTGAGTGATTTGACACATTTGATAGAGTATATTTCCTCTTGCTTGCTAGAAAATGGTCCTTAAAGAGTTATCATTGTTTTCTTTGAGCCTTTTTCCTAGTTTAACGATTATCTTCTTCTTTGGTGTTTCACTTCCCTACATCTGAAAAGTTAGTGCATAATGGGTAAAAAGTCACAAAAGAGTGCTCACAAATCCAAGAAGAGTGTTTCATCTTCTTGGGTAGATTCTGCTTACTCCTCTACTGTTTCTATTTTTGTTAAAGTAGGCGGTCTTGATGACACTTTTACCTAAGTCGGTCCATCTTCCTACTAGGGAGCCTTGAGTCCTATTGAGGATAAAAGGATATACGGTAAGTATAGAGATTATGACATTCCATTTTATGAATGCAATTTCTCTGTCATGGGTCTTCATCTTCCTTTCACTGCCTTTGAGATATAATTCTTAAAGCATTTGGCGATGGTTCCTTTAAAACTTCATCTTGTAGGCTGGATGGATGTATGTGAAGGTTTGCCAATATTGGTGTGAGTACCTAAAAGGAAAGCCTTTTGTGACCTTTTTATTTCATCTCATTAAATGTCATCGTGGTCATGTAGTTGAGGGGCATAACAACGAGTTAATTTCTTTGGAGCCGAATGTGTGTGGCTTTGGTCTTCTTCTCGAGCTACCGTCATTTGAACACTGATTCTTTCTGGTCGCCCCCATCATCCCCGAGGCTCATGTTAAATTTTTCCCCATTGGAGACAGAGTGAAGGGAAGATGTTTCGAGTTGTTTCCCTAGTACCGAACTGAAATTCACTTTCTTATAGGGAACAATGTGTATGTATATAAAGAGGATGATCTTTCTAATGAAGTTATGCACTAGAATAAATGATTGATGAGTTTCATTAGTGACTTGGGTTACTTGAGGGGTGGTACCCCCACAAATTAGGTCAATCGAAAATGCTTGGAGCACCTCATTGATGTTTAGTTGCTGATGGAGCCCCATTTCTGAGCGGAAAGAAAAGTCATATTTGGTAAGTCCTAAAAACTCTCAGCTTTTTTTGCCTTTAATATACTTACTCATGATGTATTTGTTATAATGTTGATTGTGTGCAGATTATATGCAGGATAAAGTACAACTCCAGCTCATAAAACTGTAGATATGGCCAACAAGAAAAGGAGCCGATTTGAATAAGTTGTCAATGTTGCCGAATATATTTGGTATTCCTACACGTCCGTTATTGATAGGGTCGAGCTCTCATTCCTCCAAAGACTGTTGACCCTTCATTTGGAATAGCATTGCACATATCTAGTTGTTGTGTGAACTATTGTTATGTGCAAGTATACATAGTCAAATAATAGCAAGTGCTTTAAAAGTAAAAGTATTTATCCCACATAGATTGTTATAAATTAAGTTGATTTTTTTCTTTAAAATCTTATGAATAGTTATGAGCAAAAGGGTAACAATAATATTGGTTTTTCGCAGGTTTAAGTTGAAATAGAATAAAATGTCAATGAAGATAAAGAAGTTAAATCAATAGTGAGAGGCATGTTGGATAATGATCCATCTAATGAAGTACATATTTTGTGTGTATATGATGAGCTTTGTCGTGAAAAATGAGGTAGAAGATGATCTAGTGATATATGTCTACAACATCAAGGTATATGCAATAAGTCAAGGGAACAAGTCTCGAGGTCTCGCAATAACATTAAAGCATGTCTTTTTGCATCTCCTGATTTCCCATATGGTTGTAGTCTTTTATCTCTAAAGTGACTAATCTAGTGAATATGTTTATCATACTATTTTCGACCACATTTGCTTATGAAGTCCGTTAGGTAATGAATTCCTCAACCCTTAACCAACTTTTACCTATTTTTAAGGTGATCAATCAAAGATGTATAACATTATTTCATAAAAGAAAAATATATCACTTCAAATCACACCATGTTAACAAAAAATAGTATTTTTTTATTAAACTTCACATTGTTCAACATAAAGAGTTTTAGCTTACAATGAGCAAAAGAAATATAAGCATAATTTCTTATATTCAACATTTCTAAACACAAATGAAAAGAAAATGTAAACCTAAGTATGAGTCCCCACTCCTTGAAATATTTCAATCAACAAGAGGCGACTTATGTCATGCCATGATGCTCAACACTTTTTAATAGGGGAGAAGTGAAAGGAATTATTAACTATTGGCACCAATATTCATACAGGTTCGACCGAATGTTAGCCTAGTCCTGTCCCTAAAATATATTCTTGAGAGTTCCACTAAATACTTGAGCTGTTTCAGGTTATGCCCAAGAACCTTTGATACAAGAGAATCAAGCGATGTTATATTGGCTTATTCTCCCAACCAAAAGAGAGCTTTTCCACGAGATGAGCTCACGAACCCAGTAGATACTTTACTGGATAATCTAATAACCAAACAAAAGTTTTGCAGGTCAAATTCTATGAACAAACAAATATTTTTCAATGGTTGATCTCAATAACCAAACTCTATTCTTCAAGATTATCACATTCTTGAAATAAAATAGTGGCACAACACCAGTTCAACACTTTCCCTACAAGTAGTTTTTATGCATAAGACACTAAGATAACTTTGGTGAAAGAAAATATTTAGAGAGAGAGAGAGAGAGAGAAAG